GAAATGGCTGATAACATGGAGAAAATGTAAATAATAATATTACCTATCTGCTCTTTTTTCAAAATTTATAAATGAACTTATGAAAAAGTATCCGTTGCATTAAAGTATCTTTTTAAGAGTAAAACTAGTTATTATCGAACTTTTGAGCAATTTAAAGGTTAGCATTGAAAGGTTATTTTTATTGTAAAATCAATATCCGTTAGTAAATATATGTTTATCACTTCTATACTTTGAAAATAAAAATCTTTTAAAACCAGTTATAAAGAAAATTATATTCGCTCATTAAATTATTTGGATTCGCTAAAATATGTTTATTCGTGAAATTATTTTTATGCATTAAAATAATATCATTATTTTATATAAAAAAACTTTTAAATAAAAATTGATCTTGATTTACCTGTTATATTGTATTTAACAAACAAAAAAAAAATTTCAAATCAATTCGGATTGGAATATATTAAAATTTTAACCGTAATCATATATGTTTTATTAATGCTATCATTAGTTAATTAAATTTATATTAAAATGTATAATAAAATTAGTACAGAAAGAAAAATTTATATATCAGTAAATAAAAATTCATAAAACTTTAGATAAATTGTAAATGTATAATAAATTTGAAAAAATATTCTACTAATTTGCTGTATTGAATTAAACAATATGAAGCCATGTATTTACAGCAATTCCAATTTTATTAAAAGAAATTGAGTCTATTAATTTTTGTATATCATTTTCCCATAAAAATTTATATAATGTTAATATAAAAATAAGTTGATGTTAGGATAAGTAACAAAATATCATTTATCATGTAGAAAATTTTCATTTCTAAGAATAGAGTTGTAAAAAAAAAAATTCCTTATTCTTTTTCCCATATTCTGTTTTACAATTTTTCATATTTTTTTTATAATTACTCAAAGCTGCTTCAATAAGCAATTCATCTTCATATATTTTGAATTCATCCATGCGCACATGTTTATACTTCGTTTGAAATGAGAAATGAAAAGCATGGAACCGATCATACTGATCATCTGTTTTAGTCGTTCTATTTGCACTATGATTGGCAAAAATTGATTTAATGTTATGATAAATTTGATGTTGATATTTATAATTACAATGCTATACAAATATTTACAGTAATACTTGTCTATAAAACCGTATATTAACTGTCTTAGTATGTACAGTTATTAGTACTCTAAATCTGCTATCGCAAAAGAATATAAAACAATTAAAATAGTTTTCAAGAATTATTATAAATTAAATGGAAATACCACGTGAAAAAATTTCTAAACGTTTGATTTCTTTTTTTTTCGAATCTAGTGCAACTAAAATTTTAAAACTATCCGATAATATATTTAAATATTTACAAAATAACATAATCATCAAGCATACTTTATATTATCATTTTATAATTTAGTTAAAAAACTAAACTAAATAACTAAACTTTAGAAAAATTTAAATAGTTAAAGTAATTGAAAAAAGAATAAAATTACTAATTAGATAAGGATCGCAAATATCACCTCAACTCACCAGCCCGAATACGCATGACAGGTGAATATGCATTTCTGATCCAAGTGTATATTCTACACTTTTCATTCACTTCAGTCTATAATAAAGTTAAAAATGAAGAATTAGAAGCGGTTAGTTTCTAATAATATCCTATTTCGTTTATGAAATCATCCGCCTTTATAAAGCCAATGTTCATTCTCAGTGATTCGTAAAATCAAACTTTCTCTATCCGAGCAGGGCTTTAGCCAGCCTCGTCCTTGATTATTACCTATGTAGTGCATTATTTCGTGATGCGCTGCCACAAATTTAAAAGGATATAAATAAAATGTCTACTAATACGAAATATTTCCGTTATTTTCTTGACGTTTCTCCATACGACACATGCATCACACATAATATTAATGTAATCTTAATAATTGCAGATTTATACAGAAAAAATTTATGTATGACTAGCTTATGCAGATCACAAGAACTTGAGTAAAAAAATTTAGTTAAATACTGCGTTCATCCTAAAAACCTGCATCGCACACGCGTGTATGTGTATATGTATATGTATATGTATATATATATATATATATATATATATATATATATATATATATATATATATATATATATACATAGGTAGATAGATGCGTGTATATCAACCACTTCCATAGAGAATAAAGTGAGAATAATTCTGTATAGCTAACGGCTTTTTACTTGAGTTCGTCACGTCCAATCTTAAACACGAATCACAAAGAATTTCTCTCGAAACAAAAGAGAATACTTATATAATACTATTTCATTTTCATTATCCTAAAACTGACTCATTAACGCATTGTCAGATAAACCTCTTAGAATTATATTTGTGAAGTCTTCACGACACAGCCTATATAAATATGCTTAGCACAACTATGATGAATTCGGTAGTTAATAAAATTATCACGTTTGAATTATAATCGCTCACTATATTTTAATTAAGCCATGTTGATTTCTTGAGAATCCTCTCAATTACTTGCTTAAAAACAAATGCAAAACACATTCATTGTGTAAATACGTTGCTTTTTTTCGCTTATAAACGAATACTCTTAAGTTACGTTAGAACTTACATATTATAAATTTATATTCAGACTGCATTAAAATATATTAGATATATTACTAAGACTTAATAAATAGAAAAATGATTTTTTGTCTGCTACTAGTATATTTTCATTGTATAGCTTCAAGCTTTTTTATGTTTGATTTATGAAAAATTTTATAAAATTTTGATGATTGAAAATTGTATAGAAATTTAAAGTTTACAAAATATCGACTAAATTTAAGAACTCTCAATTTTTATTGTACAAAACAAAGTAACAAGATTTTTATTAATATTTGTAATGTAATTTTTTTTTTTATTTGAGTTTTTTTTTATTAAAGCTAATAATTGAAAATTTTAACATTATACATATTTTCTATGCATATTTCAACTAACAATAATTCATTAATCATTGTTCATATATTTCTCACAGTCATAAAAGTATATTGAAACATTCAATTTTATATATAAAAGTATTTAAAGTATTTAAATTATATTTAAAGTAAATATATCATTAGCGTACAATTAAATAAAGTGTTTCGCTATATTTATATATCCGCGGATCAATGATGTATTTTAAAAATTCCAAAACTATCATCATTTGTTATTTTAATGTAAATTATATTAAAAGCATGAGGAAATATAGTGGGTGATCATTTTGTCAAATATTGTATTATTAAACAATACATTATATAAGTAATATAAATTTGTATATATTTCCAGCTACTTATGAAATTTGAAAAATTCATTTATCCTTCATGATGAAGTTTTATTTTATTAAATTGAAAATTCACCAATGATATGTAAATGCGTTTCATATTGATTTATATGTGAAAAATTTCTTTTAATAAAAATAAAATTATTTAACTTAAAATGAGCTGTATTTATATTCCTTATTATACTTAAAAGTTCGATGAAAATGAAATGAAATTTGCGAAACTAAACAAATGGGTGTTTGATATTTATTGAATAGCTTATTAAATCTTTTGTAAAGGTTCACTTACTTTATCAATTTTCTGCTATCAATACAATATCAAATAAATATTTTGTAAATCAAATAGCTTATACCCCAAAATAAGTATGTTTAGGAACAAGAAAATTCATAGTTGTTTGTAATATCTGTTTGTATGCAGTTTGAATTGTATTGCAGTATGTAATTTCATATATATATATATATATATATATATATCAAACGGCTAAAGCATGAGATATCATCAAGCTATCGTGAAATATGGAACTTTCAAAAACAATGTAAAATATAAGGAATAGAATAAAATAAACAGAAAAATTTGTCAAAGCCGATCTCGCAATATGTATTGAATGTATATTTTCAAAAGGTTTTTCAAACAACTAAATTCTTAATATATATTAGGAAATACAATTGTACAGTATTTTTTACAATTTGAAAAGCAAAGTTTTGCATGGCATTTAATTTGTAATAAAATTGCAAGCTTTGCAAGTAAGATTATCCTCGTAATAAGTATTATCTACGAAAAAAGATGCAAAAGACAAAAATTTGGAATAATATTCTTATGATTCGTTACATACAATAGGAAGCGAACCATTGTTGCCGGTAATCAATCACTTTACGTGCGTCATCCCATGTCACGTTTTTGCAAAAACCTAAGATATTATAGCCCAGACATTTTAAGCAGTGTCAAGTCGAAAATAGATTTTGCAGCGAACAAAGGCTGGAAGATATCTCGTCACACTAAAAACTTTAGTGATTAAAGAATATCGATATAATTTAAACCACTCGGGTCTATTTTGCGCTCACTTTATCCTGCAATTTACGTCGGCTCTCTCCTAATCGAGCATAAAAGAAAATCTTTTTCTCGCTATTCGGTGCTACGTATCAACCAATTACCTTAAAGTCCGAAGTCCGGCAATCGGAAGCCGTCCGACGGCCAAGAACGGCAGTGAGCGAGAATGAAAGAGAGAGGTAGATATATAGATATATAGATAGATAGAGAGAGAGATATAGAGATAGAGATAGAGATAGAGATAGAGAGATAGAGAGAGAGAGAGAGAGAGAGAGAGAGAGAGAGAGAGAGAGAGAGAGAGAGAAAGAGCTCGGCTTAAAGAAGGCTATTGCCATTAAATCCCGGGGCTGCTGATATAGAGAATTGCGTACGCGCGCGGCGTACAAAGAAAACGGGAGCGTCTAGTCGTTGGTCCGTCGGATATAAGACCGGGACACTGGAAGGACGACGCACGAAGGTCCGCGAGGGTAGTCGATGAAGGATAGACGTGTGATGGATGGATAGGCCAGAAGGTAAGCGAGAGGAATTGAATCACCGGACTAGAGCGAAGCGGAAAAGCTCCGATCGATCGGCGCTCAAAGCCGCGAGGTGGCGAGGAGGCAGCGAGGAGGCAGCGAGGAGGCAGCAACTCGCAACCGCTCGCATCGATCCCCGTGACGCGATGCACTTACCCCGACTGAGCTCCGCGTAACTCGCGATCCTCCGCTCGGCGTTCTTGCGCGCTATGTAAAACCACTCGCTGCTGTTGCTCAGGTACTTGTACTCGACCGCGAGGTCCTTCACGAGGACGCCCTCCTCATCTTGCAGCCGGTGGGCGAACGGGCAGTAGAGCCACCTCTCCCGATACTGGAGCTTGTCGTAGCAGTTGCCCGCCGCGAATATATCCTCGTCGAACTCGACCATCGACAGGACACTCGCGTGGAGGAGATACTCCGAGGCTGTGACCACCTCGGGGGCGTACTTCCACAGCCGCGTGAGCATGTTCGCCCGGTTAACCGCGAGGTTCGCCTCGAGCCTGAAGCGCTCCTGGCCATATTGGTCGACGACGCCCTCGCCAAGGTTCAGGTCCGTGCCTGCGGTACAGTTCTCCCCGAGGAGTTGTTGATTCTCGATTATACGCAGGAAGCGTGTTACGATATCCACCTGTTCGCGGCCCCGGCGGCGCTCGCTCGTTCCATTCACGACTACGATGGCAGCGGCGGCGGCGGCGGCGGAGGCTTCAGCGCCGATCGCCTCGAAACCCGGGCTCGAGGTCGGATTTTGACTTGGATTCGAATTTAAGCTCGAACTCGTGCTCGGGCTTGATGTTGAAACCTCGGCAAAGAGCCTACCGGAACGGGCCCCCGGTCGGCCCCGTGCCCGCCCATGCCGGATCTGCTCGGTCTCGGCCTGTTGCGTGGCCGCGTGCTCTCGAAGTCGGCGCTCGATGAACGAAGGTGGCTGGCTCTGCTGGTGGCGGGGCGCGGCCACGGGTTCCTGAGCTCCGGTCGCGAATCCGAGGAGCACCAGCAGCAGGAGCAGCCCGCGCCTTGTCATTCTTAGGCTCGTCGCATGGAGGAGGACCGCGCACGCCGAGCTGCTGCTGCGAGCCGCCGCGAGCTCTGTGCTCCCGGGCGGTCGGGCGGCGCGAGACTGCAAGGGGCAGCGTAAAGTCGAAAACGACGCAGTGGTGGCAGTGACGGCGGCGGCGGCGGCGGCGGCGGCGGCGGCGGCGGCGGCGAGGGTTAAAAGGAACGACTGCTGAGGGGTCTGGGGTGGAGAAGGGTCGGATGCTCGGCAGCGCCGATCGCGATCTCGGCTGGGCTCGCTGATATCCATTCACCCCCGGCAACCCTTTCCTCTGCCCCTACCGCCGATCCCGTCCCCGCCCCCAAACCTCATCGATCCGCACGCGACGAGCGTTAATCTGTGGGCTGTGGGCAACCGGCACGATTTGGCTAGCGCGCTCCTGAGGAGGATGGAGTACGTGCTGACCGTTGGATTGATGCAGACTACGATGATGAGTTATCATTTACTGACCGTCTTCTTTGTGCGATGAGCATTTTATTGAGGAGCGCACTGTACCATCAACCACCTTCGCGAATTATATTTACTCGATAATGCCACGCGCGCTTGGATACCTCCATTAGAGGAATTTCCGTTTGCACAATACGTTTCGGCTTCGCGCTAATACCTCAAACCTTTACTTCACTTGTTGATTTTGAAAATTTTAATACTTACTATTACTTCATCAAATGTCCCCTATTTCGATGCTACGTTTGCACGTTCTCCAAGTCTCGCATAGATTTAAATAAAAATTCGAATAAATGATACAATAAGCATTCGTAGTTAATATTAAGTCAATATTAGGATGGATAAATATTTATCTGCTCTTACCCTTAATCGTATATTCAACTTGTTTATTGTCCAGAATATTTGGAATGTATATCTCATATAGTACTAAAGCACTATAACTTCTAAATACTTCAAAATGTTATATAATTTGAAATGTTTAAAATAAATGATTTTATTAATATATCTAAAATAATTACACTTTTAAAGTAATTTATTTATATCATTCTTCTATATTAATTTGTATTTTCCTAACAATCATAAACAGTTATTGTATTTAATTTGACGGTATATATTTTTAGTTATCATATATATATGATTAAGAAGTAACCTAATCTATTTACTAGAAATTTTTGTTGCCAATACTGATATAGCTTCATGTTAGTTTAACTTATTTAAGCTTCATTAATTTAATTATGTGCAATACAATAGGAATAAATATTTTATAGAATTATGATAAAGTTCATCAAAAATTGTGACTGCTAACTTCAGGTAATGATTATTAATAATAATAAAAAATGACAGGCAATGATGATGAATAATTTTCGTAATAAGGTACAAAATTTTGAAATTAATGTTGCAAAATAATATTGAATAATTAAATAATAAAATGAAAATTTTAAATATACTGAAATATTTAAATTAATGTCAGATATTAACATGAAATGTCGTGAAACAAAGAATAAATCTTTTTTTTTTTTTAACTATTATTAATTGTAAGTGTCAATCTTATTTTTCAGATTTTGTTTTCAAAATTGAATAATTATAACATAAATTTTATATATTTGCTGGTTAATTGTTGTAAGAGATGATTATCGAAAATATTTTGACAGTAAATTTAAATGATTATTGTATTTATCATTATTTATTTATATAATTTACATAAATATATTAACTTTTGTATTATATTTAATCTATATTAGTATAATTTGTGATGTTATATAGGATGGCAAAACACGTGCATAAGCATAATATTTTCAAATATACCTTATCATGAAGTACAAGACGCAGAGATAATAGTAATAGAAATAGACAAGATTATGAAAATAATTGCGAACAATGAAAAAGATAGTTCGCTAAGAAATTGCTAACAGGAAATCATTAGAAAATTGTTAATCACGTTTTATTCAAGGTTAGAGGTATTCGAAATTTTCTCTAATACAAAGGTGCAATAAAAAACTTATTGCTCTATTTGATTGCGTTTTAATGAATTAATCCTCTACGTATACTTGAGATTTTTTTATTGCCAAAGGCTAATGCTCAGCAAACCCTTATCCTATTTAACATTACACATAAAATTTTGTAAAGGTGAATATACTGTGATAACGTCAGAAAAGAAACATTTTAAACATAAGATACTTTTGTAGTAATACAAGTAAGTGGTTTAAAGTTATTTAAAATCATTAAAATATCCTTTATATGTAATTATTACGGATATATCTCTTCATCTGTTACAATTTCTTAACAAACTTGAAATATTTATTATAATACCTCATTTTTATGTTTATTGCATAATCATTGTTTCTTAATATAAATATATGACAATATTTAATATTTAATAAACAACGCAAAAATTTGCAAAAAATTATGCTGTCATTTAAAATTCCTAAGTAATATTTAAGAAGTACAACAAGTCATAATTATCCCCGTAGTCAACTTTAAATAAAATTTTTCTAATAAAATCTATGTTACAAATATAAAAAAAACTTTTGATATTAATGTAACAATCGTCAAGAAAATTTAGTTCCTAAAAAATTACTTTTATAGTTTTACCATTTGTATTAAATTCATGCACTCGCGCTCACGTTACTTTGCATAATTATTTTTGTAAGTTTGTACTAACTTTTTTGTACTATTTTTTATTACTATTTCAAAAATTATATTTACTCTTTTAAAAGCATATATCTACTAATATCATAACGTAATTTCGCTAAAGTTCAACTCGATAAATTACTGATATTAAAACATTTTAAAAATTTAATAGACTTTGTACATAATAAAAAAAATGTAAATCATTATCCAATTCACCATTCTATGTTAAAATAATTGTTAATTTTTTTTAATAATATTTCAAGGGTCTGTCGGAAAAAGTAAATTTTTTATTTTTATTTTTATTTATCCTATAATTTACAATTTTTCTCAAAGAATATAAGATATTTAAAAGAAATGTCAGATATAATTTTATATAATCACTCTTCGTAAGAGTAACATTAGAATCATATTTCATTTCTATATTAAAAAAAGAATAAAAATATATTTACTAATATTTATAATAGTATATTTAATGGATACTGAAAATTTATATTTTGTTAGGTATAATTTAAAATAGAAATTGCTTTTAATTTAAAAAAAAAAAATCTAATAACTCTTAATGAACATCTTTTAATGATGATTGAAAGGAAGAAAGATTATCTTAAGCAGTTTTAAGTAAATATATAATAGCATAGAGATATGGGATTTAAGTAGGTTAAGGGTTCACCGAGGGAAAGTTAGTAAAATCACACATAACACCAGATGAAACGCTGATATTTGACTTTTCCTTATGAATGTTAGTAACATGCATTATCAAATTTTATTATATAATCAATTTCTTGAAGAGAACAATTTTTCAAAATTTTAATAAAATTAAATATGATTCTCGACATAGCTAATTATGGAATTTTTTTGCTTTACAAATAAAATTTAAAGTGCAACTAGATATTAAACGATTGAATTTTTGTATTCGATTATTTAAATTTATAACTCTTTTTAGATATCTATTTTAATCTTTTAACAACTTTATTGAGAACAATAATTGCTAATTGTACTTCAAATTTCATGACCTGTTTATACATCAAAGGTAAAAATCATAGTCAATGTTCATATCATTTTTATAACATCCATTTTTCTATTATTTAAATTTAAAATTCTATAAAATGAAGCATAATTAAATTAAATTCTTTTATTAAGAAAAATTAAATAATAAACAAATAATTAAACGAAATTAATTCGATAGCATATTATAAAAATACATATATGAATAGTTTTTTTTTTTTTTAATGTTTATTAAAAATAATAAAATTTATTTTAATAAAATCATGAAAATTATTTAAACAAACATAGACAAATTTATGAAAATTTAGTGTACATAAATATATTCTTGCTATTACTTAACAGTATGAGTAACATATCGTGTATTAACATTTTCCATTAATTTAGAATGAAGCAGTAGATTTAAATTTATCTACATTAAATCGAAATTTAATTTAAACTTATCTGAATTTTAAAAATAAAACTTGAAGCTTTTGTTATTAAAGCATACAATCCAAATATACAATTAAATATAAAAAATTTCTTTTAAAATTATTTTTAATAAAGTTCATTTAAATCTTATCAGAATTTACATGATTTTGCAAAAAATTCTAATACTCATTTAAAATGAATTCCAGTACAAAATGATAAGTTAACAAAACTTATTATACAAAAGTCTGTTGTAGAGCAAATTATCTCTTTGGTTCGAGCTTTCTTCTGTCAATCTTTGAGTATATAAATTTATGTTAAGGCTTCAATGTTCATGTGCCTCTCCGCATTTTTTAATTTTTCCTATTTATTTTTCTTCTATTTTAATTTTATTTTTATATTTATTCATTTTAATGCTTTTTAGTTAATTTGATTTTCATTTTAATAATATATTTGTATGATAATTTTATTTAATTGTGTATTATACATGATGTTAAACTTTTGAAAACATTATGGACAGATATTGAAATTACATATGACTATTATAATGTAATACCTATTATTGATAGGGTAATAAAAAATCGTGAAATAAACTACTTTCTTTGTTTTTAAAATACAATCATAATAATAATTATTATTATAAATCACTATACTATTTTATACTATATTATTATAAATTATACTATATTATACTATATTATTATAAATTAAACTATATTATACTATATTATTATAAATCACTTATACTATTGTAACAATTATTCAATTCTGATTATATTCTTGGTAAAGTTCTTGAAAATATGTACGAACCTCGTAGTTTGCCTGAATAGATGCATGAAATTCAGAATATAGCCTTGATGTTACTGTATAAACTTCATTTGCACTGTTAAGGTCTTTGAAGGTCTTCCTTCGCCTTCTAAATTTTCACCTGCCCGCTAACGATTTATGAATTAATATTTTCTTTTGATAATGCAAATATATACAAC